CCGCCGAATCGTCCGCCACCATCCGCCGAAGCTTCGTCAAGGCGTTCGGGAACCAGGTCTTGAACAGCACGTCGCTAGGCGCCTCCAGGCTTCCCACTCGCCACCGAGCCGTGTCGAAGACGGTCCGTCCACTGACGTCTCTGAGCTCTAAACGCTCCAGCGCTGTCCGTCTCAGCTCCCGAGGGCTGAATCGCTGGCCCTCGAACACATAGATGTGATAACTGAGAGAGTGAAAGAAGCAGTCCCCGTCGCCAGGCTGTCGCACAACGGTCAGAGGGAAGGCCAGCCGACGGAGCACCCGTGTCAGCCTGTTCCTGTCTCCCGGGAAGAAGACTCGCACCTGCGGCCGCCTCAACACCCCCTCGACGGACAAACGCAGCTGCCGCGAAGCTCTCGTCTCGACCTCCTCCGCCTCCTCGTCCGCCTCTCCACGTGTCCTCTTCACACCCGAAGACACACACGTAACCACGCGCACACAGATGCAACAGAACTCCGAACCACCCTTCCCTTCGATTGCCAGAGTCACTGAACGCGCAGCCCTCGCCACGTTCCCGATTTCGAGTCCGATTTCACCCCAGAGCAGCGTTCAGTGTCAACGCAACGCTACGGCTCACCTCTCCTCGATTGCTTCACCATCTTCTCCACACAGTCACCACACACTTTTACGCATGCCCTAAGGCTCACCAAACGTTTTCCTTTTTTCCTCCCTTTGTGGCTGCCGACAGCATGGAAACGCCATCAGAAGCGAGGACATGCTGTCTAGTTTTGCTTAACGAAAACAGCTCTCGCATGCGCTGCCTACACACATCGGAATTCCAGGTAGAGGAAACCCGGGTTTTAAAATTCATATGGGCAAGGTCCCCGTTAACGCAACCACCACCACCATATAAGGATGATCGCCTGATAAGCTCGCAAGGCCGCCTAGGGTGCTCCCTGAAACCGCTGCTGCCGGAGGAAATCTTTGCCGCCTTGCATTCATCAGCATGAACAATGCCTACGCTGGCGGTTTGCGTTGATGACACTCGAAAATGAAGCGAATGAGGGCATGCTTGCCGGCGAGGCGGTTTTTCTGCTCCGCCGCCACGAGTGTGGAGCCGCTCCGAGCTCTCGCAGCGGGAATGAGTGTCACGCCACGAGGATGGCTCAAGTAAGTCAAGATCTGATCACGTCAGCATGGGCACTGCGTTGAATGACCCGCTCTCTTCCTCTTTTTGCTGCTTTCAGGACCCTTAGCTTGATGATGCAGCGCCATCTGATCAAGAAGGAGCTGGCGGTGATGGCGCCACAGACTTTTCGGTCCTTCGACGAGGACCTCCCACGGGGCGCAGAAGGCGCCTTGAGGTTCCTGGCGGACAAGCTGTCGAGTGCAGATGTTGACGCCCTCTCGGTGTGTGTCAATTTTGAAGGAGAGGGAAGGGACCTGACATCACGATGAGTGCATGCGTCTTATTGCAGGACTGCCTCGAGAACACCCTGTGCAGACCGTTCGAGGAGGTTCTGCGGATCGTCAAGGAGAATGAATTCAAGGTGTGAGCAGAGAGACCGCAGACCGACCCATTATCACCGTCTGTGTGTGTGTGTGTGTGTCAGGTGCATTTTGAGATCCTCAAGGTGCACAAGATCACTCTAGACAAGGTCGTTCTCATCATGGGTAAGGCCGGCACAACCACACACGCGCACCGACAGTCACATCTCTCGATGGGCGTCGCATTCGTCATCTCGCCAGGTGCTCAGCGTGGCGAAGCCCTGCGCGATCGAAGGATACGCGCCGTCTTCGGTGAGCGAGTAGCACATCAGATCGGCACCATACCATTCTGCCTGACGACCGACCTGTCTGTGGAGTGTTCAGGTCACCACATAGTGGAGGAAAAGTCAGACGTGGAGAAGGCCAGGCAGGGCATGGGTTCCGAACACGTGCGGGAGATCCTCGACAGGGGCAACCTCCTTCTCGTCGACTGTGAGGTCACCGTGTCCCAGATCTTCTCTGTCGCGACCAAAGACAGAAAGGTGAGGCGGCCTGCCTGTGCGTTTGAATAAATGGCAGCAGCTTGATGAATCCTCTTGTGGCCCCTTGTGCGTGTGAATGCAGGTTGTGTTGGGTTCTCCGGATCCAAGTGAAGCGACACATCGGCTGAGATTTGAGGCGTCACTCACACTGAGGTGGGTCTCTGACCGACCGCCAGACCACTCACCCATCCACCTCTGCTGTCTGTGTGTGATTGCCTGTCTGTCTGTCTGTCTGTCAGGAACCCCCACTTGTCGTTCACCCCTTCCCCTGATCAGAAGTCTTGGGACAGCATGATGCGGCCACCGGACTTCGAGGCCTCCGACTGGTACCTGGTGGACATCAACGGCATGTCTGGAGAGGACCGCAACTACCCCATCACGCCGCGTGAGGGGCTCACGTCCGCCGACCCTGAAAGGCTAATCGCCGAGACGGTGCCGCTGTGGAAACAAGTCGAAGAGAGGGCGAGGGAGCTGCAACAACAGCAGCAGCAGCCGCCCCAGCAGCAGCAGCAGCAGCAAGAGAAGTCGGAAGCGGAGCAGAAGGGAGAAGGTGCCCAGGCGACTGAGCAGGGGAAAGGCACAGAGGAGAGCCAAGACACAGACAGAGGCGAGGGAAAAGACAGCGCAGATGAAGGCGGCGGAGAGAAGAAAGACAGCGAAGAGAGCAAAGGCAAGGAAGAGGGCGAGAAGAAGGCGGGATGAAGGCACCAGCCAGCCAGGCAGGCATTTATGTGTGAGAACGCTTTGTTGCGGTAGAGTTTGGTCGTGTCGGACAGTGAATGTGACACAGTCTCGGTGGGTGCCCTGTAGCCCTCCCTGTGTATGTATATACTGACTTGCGCGCTTTATTGCCAATCACACCACACCCTGTTCCCCAAGTGTATCGAATCCCACATGAACACACATGCATATACACAGGGCTGCAAGTCAGCCAAAAGGGCCACTAATGGCCATAACATCTCCAGCGCAGCTCAGGCCTGTGGACACACAACCGAGCACGCACCAAAAATGATACGCACACCGCATGTGCTGGTCTCCCGTGTATGTACCTGCTGGACAGAGGCAGGAGAGATGAGACAGTCAGCCAGGAGCACTGACAGCAGTACGACACGTCCACAAGAGACGCCCTCCACCCCTTCATGAAACGCACAACAGATACACATCACACAGGAGCCTGTTCTGGCTTCCCCACCTTGCTAAGTCGCTCCCGTGAGGGATGATGGTTGCGAAAGAACATGCAATCCACACGCCTGCATCGTTCGACCAGGGAATGTGTGTGTGTGTGTGTGTGTGGCGTGGGGCTTCATCACTCACCCGGACCACGCGACGCCGGAGAACTGCAGCACCTGTTTGTCGCAGGCCAGACACCTGACCACAGCATACAGGTCACACACATGTCAGAGCTCTATCAATGATGGCGTCTCCCGCACCTCATGTTGTCACAGCACGTATCGGCCTGTCCGTTTGCTGCTCCCTGCGACGCGGCGGCCCGAGAGGACAGGCCCCTACGACAAGATGAACCTGCAGTAGACAGACAACGTGGGCCGTCACTCCATGGCCCGGGACACCTAGCGTGCCATGGGGGAGACCCTCTCACTCACCTCCCAGCATGGGGGGATCGCAACGAATTGGGGACCTGGCGCACAAAGGACGCACAGTGCAAGATCATCGGCATACATATGTCTCCAGTGTGTGCATGACACGCCTCACGTGCGGAATTCATCAAGGGAGTGCAGTGGACGGCCCTCTTGTAGTGCGTCATCCGACGCGAGGGCCAGCTCCGATAGCAGCTGATCCACAGCAGAGGGTGCACACGGCTGCCTGGCGGCCACAGATGCCTGAGATGAGTCGGCAGCTGCTTCGACAGCCTCCTTCTTTCTGCCGGATGACGTCGCGCAATTGGGGCCTCTGTTTTTTGTCGGTAGATGTGGTCTTTCTTGTAGGCATTCATCAAGCATGTCGAGTAGCTCATCGACGCTCTCTGTCATCGCGTCGCGCCGCTTCTCGCAGCTCGGATCGTCCAGCTAAGCTCGCAAAAGAGGCGCTTTGGAAGGAGATCTGCTCAATCTGGCAGTTCTGTCAGCAGCCAAAGGGAGGTATCAGATCCAGTCTGCAGTGTGTCCATCCCGGCTCCTTGCGCGAGGATGTCGAACATCAATTGGCCCGGGCTGCTCAAGTGGTCCCTCCGACACACAGGTAAGGCTGCACCCACAAACACTTAGATGCACATGCACGCAAGCGTGTGAATCTGTCTGTCATCATGGTGCGGTGGTGGTGTACAGATGGCACGACAGACGTCCGGCGAATGTCGCAGGTGCTGCACTCACACCACACACACACACACGCAAGATGCAAGATGCTTTGATGTGTTGTGTGATTGTGTGATGCAGGAGGACATGGACTTCCTCTCGAGTGCCATCCAAGAAGCTCTCAAGAACATCGAGGACCCTTTCCAGGCCATCCAAGAAACACTGCCCAAACTCAAATCACAATCAGGTACACAGACACACAGACAGACACACAGACAGACAGACAGACAGACAGACAGACACACAGACAGGCCGACAGGTCATATAAATGACAGGGACAGGTCAGATCGTGTGTGTGCCCGTGTGTGTCTGTCAGATGAGGAGGTGCTGACGGCACTGGCCGTCCTCGAGCGGTGCCTCGACTTCCCAGAGACCGCCAGGAATATAGAAAAGTACGGAGAAGCTGATGCATGTCCGTTCGCCATCTGAGCGACAAGAGGATGGGAATGTGGGCATGCCTTGGTTGGTTCAGGTTGGACGGTGTGCAGCCGCTGCTCGGGTGCCTCTCACACCAAAACCATGACGTCCAGGAGAAAAGTTGCGAAGTGAGGGGACGGGAACGAGCGGCTGCGCATGGCCGCTTTGTTACGTGTTGTGCCTGTGAATGTACGTCAGATATTTTCTCTTTTGTTGGCGCACAATCCTGAGATTCAGGAGGCCACATGCAACCGCAACGGGCTGGATAAGTTCCTCGCCCTCGTCGACAGCAACTCCCAGGACATGGTGCGCTTCAGAGCCCTCAGCGCCCTGGCCGCACTCACCAGACACTTCCCAAGGGCAGAGAAGGTGCGTGGGTGGAGCCAACGGCACAACAACCCAGGCCAGCCATGCAATGCCATGTGTGTACATGCTGGCTGGTTTTGTCTGCCTGGCACCTTCAGATGCTGGTCGACCGCAACGGTTTCGCCACCCTCATGCATGCAGTCGCGAGTGGCAACCCCAGGGTGAGAGATCCCACACACATGTCATGTCACACAGACAGAGATATGGACGTGAGTGACCTTGGTGTGTGTGTGTGTCCCGGCTGGCTGGCTGCAGGACAGCCAGAAGGCCGCCTCCCTCGCGAGGCATCTGGTGCACGAGCAGAGAGTGCCGCCGCAACAAGTACGTACGTGAATACGGCGATGCGGACGTACCGACAGACAGACAGAGTCGACAAGTGCGGGTCTGTGATTGATGTGCGTATGGTTGGCTGGGTTGCTTCAGGTAGGGAGTAGCGATGTGTCGCTGGCCGTGCAGTCGTGCCTTGGCGACCGTAACGTCGACCAATCAGGATTGGAGTACGGTGAGGTCATCGCTGGCTTCCTGGAAGCGCTGGTGGCGACGCACAGGTCAGCCACCCACTCGTCGCGGGGAGCGCTTCCATCCATTTGTGTGTGTCCGTGTGCAGAGATGTCCTGCAGCAGACCAAGCAGCTGCCCATCATCAAACAGGTGAGGTGGGTGAGCAACCACAGCCACCGCATCCCATTCATGTGTGCAAACCGTGATCCGTCTCTTGGCATCCAGGCAGTGGAGGGCCGGCTGCAGTACCTGGGTCAGTGTCAGCGGCACCACCTGGCCAGCCGGCGGGAGGCCGAGCGCAACAAGCCCACGGGGGCCGAGGTCGACCCGCACGAGCTGCCACTCGACGTGTCGGTGGAGGTCGATATGCTCAAAAGTGTTCTAGACAAAGTCAAATACGCCTGAATGAGGGAGGGAGGGGGGAGGGAGTGGGTGACTTCTCCTTGGTTTTGGTAGTGTGGTGTGGAATGGGTTTCTCGGACCTTTTCTCCAGCCTTTCTCGGTGTGTGGGTGTGCACACGACATGTGCATGCCGTTGACGTGTTGGCTTCGTGTGTGTACGGTCAATGCCGGTCAGTGAACTAACAGGGAGCCGTCTGTCGGTCTATCAGCCAAAGGTCAAGCCAGGAAAGAGTCTGTCGGACCTGTCAGGATACAGTCAGTATGTTTGCCGGTCAGTCAGTCAGTCAGGATGGGAGCAAGCGGCCACACAAACAAACAGCCAGCCAGCCAGCCAGCCAGCCAAACACAGCAAGACAGCCAGCCATTCTATAGGGACGTTGCCTAGCAGAGCGTAACACACACACACACACACACGCAGGCAGTCAGACTACAAAAACACTCCCACGGCACAGCAACTAGATTGGACTAGACTAAGGCAGAGAGAGAGAGAGAGAGAGAGTTTATCAGTGGCGGGCGAAAAAAGAGACTTGGCGACGCCACGACTGAGCCGAGTAAGCCGAGCCCTTCATGGCGCATACAAACGTGCCAAGTGGGTTAGTAAGGAAGGGGGGGTGAATGGTTCACCCGGCCCTCCACAGACCCGCAGAATTTGAAAAAAAACGGCAGCCCACCACATCACACCAAACCGCACACCATCCACCACGCCACGCCACGCCACGCACTTGTTTGTGCGTATCCTTCATGCAGTCGCCAAAGAAGTCTCACTCACGAGCTCTCCCCTCCACTCGCTTGCTCACACATAAACGGCGCTCTGGACGCCGTTGCTTGGTTGGTTGGCCCTTCAATCGCTCCTTCCCTCCCTCACACGCAGCCAGCAAAAACCGCAGCAAAACCCACGGCCCCCATTGACAAAGCAGCAAACCCCCTCCCACCCTCCCCCTACCCCCTTTCGACCGTTGCCTCCATCTGTAGTCCATCCACCTAGGTCAGTGGGTGAGTCGGTCAGCCCCCCTCTGCGGCAGGCTCATTGTGTTTGAGGGGAGGGGGTCTGCCCTTGCGCTCCACCACGTCAGCCAGCCGAGCCCTCAGGAACTCCAACTGGGGGTTGCTCTCACCCTGATGGAACCGTTCAGTGGTCAACGGGCACACACACACACAGAGAGAGAGAGAGAGAGAGGAGAGAGAGAGAGACAGAGAGAGAGACAGAGAGAGACCCTTAGGCGGTTGCGGGAGCGGGCAGAGCCGCACTCGTCATGGTGTGAGGATGTTGACGTATACCTTGAAGGTTTTGCAGGCCTCGATGATGTGTTTGAACATGCGGACAACGATCTGCAAGACCAGACAGACAGACAGGCAGTCACGGAGTGTTCTCTCTCCCTCTCTGTTGGCCTACTCACTGACTGACTGATGCGTTAGTTATCTACCCCCCCCCCCCCCCCCCCC